ACTCCAATCAAATGCTTTGCCTGCTCCTCCCTGATGCTTATGTTTCTTACTTTCCTCTGCTTCTCCATTATTTTTTTCTACCTTATTTTCTTCTATGCCGTTAGAAACCAATGGAATTTTCGTATCTAATAAACATAAAGCATTATAACCAGGTTGAGTTACAAGTGTAGGATTTGTGAATTCATCGTCGATATGAAACGCTTTAATAACTGGCACTGGTATAAATTTTGCCAGATCTAACGATTCATCACCATGTAATTGAACTAAATCCAATTTTAAATAATCTACAACAGTTGTAATATATTCTAATGATTGATTTTGAAATACTCCTACTAATAATGGTTTACGTGTATTATTAATTACTCTCGATGCCTGCAATTTAAACCAATTCTTTTTCCCTGATAATTTGATAATATCCTCTTGAGGTTGTTCAATTATCTCAACTTTCTCTTGTCCTTTTTCTGATTGAAGCTCGCGAATTACCGCTACTATTTCTAAAGCTTGATCAATCTGAACTTGCCTTTTAGAATTCGCAAATATGAGACCAATAAAATCTGCCCCTGCGTCAGCTGCACACATTGCCGCTTCAAGTGTTGACACACCACATATCTTAACCAATGGACTTGGAGGCGCCTTAACTTTAACAGTTGGTTTTGGTGATTCTTCTAATGCTAAAAGTTCATGAATAAATGCTCTTTTATTCTTTGCCTTCATCAATGCTTCTCCGATCAATAATGCTTTAACACCCTGTTTAACATACGCAACCACATCTTCCCGCTTAGTTATTCCACTTAATGCGGCCAAAATAACTCCTTCAGGTACCATTTCTGCTAACATGGTGGTCGTATTCATGTCCACATCAAAAGTGTGAAGATTTCTGTTGTTGACTCCAATTACTTTTGCCCCCAATTTCACAGCTCTTTCCATTTCTTCTTTATTATTAACTTCTACTAAAGGTTCCATACCAAGATGTTTAGAAAATTTATATAATTTTGTAAGTTGTTCGTCTGACAATAAAGCTACTATCAACAACACGGTATCAGCACCAAAAAGTCGTGCTTCCATAATCTGATAAGTATCCACGATGAAATCTTTACGTAAAATGGCTGGACGATTTGGAATAGTCGCCAATATATCACGAACCTGTCGCATATCATTCAAAGTACCCTTAAACCATTTAGTTTCTGTTAATACTGAAATCACGGAAGCGCCAGCTCTTGCATATGTTAAAGCTTGTTCTGCTGCATTAACTGATAGATCAATATTTCCTTTACTGGGTGATGCACGTTTAACCTCGGCAAATACGGCAGGATATTTAGGCAATGTTTGTTTAATTCTAGAGACAAAATCAATTAATGGAGGTGCGACATGGAGAGATAATAATTTCATGTAATCATGAGGTGAAGAACCCGGTTGTTTTTTAGCTATTTTGATATCTTCTAGTCGTTGATTGCATATTTTCTCCAAAATTGAAGGAATAGATTTTGTTTGTACAAAAGTTTTGGATAATGGTGCTTTCACACCAAATTCAGGATTGTCATCCCACTTTCCATTTTGAAGCTTCAAGAAATTGCCAAGCATTGTTTTGCCATGGTCACTAAGAATACTTTCAGGATGAAATTGAACACCTTCAATTGTGAATTCACGATGTCTTACACCCATTATAACATTTGTTTCACTCCAACTTGTAATTTCCAATTCATCAGGGACTGTTGAAGGTTTAGCAGCTAAAGAATGATAACGAGTCACAACAATTTCATTCGGTACGTCTATATAAATTCCTTTACCATCG